CTTCCTTCCTTCCTTCCTTCCTTCCTTCCTTCCTTTCTTTCTTTCTTTCTTTCTTTCTTTCTTTCTTTCTTTCTTTCTTTCTTTCTTTCTTTCTTTCTTTCTTTCTTTCTTTCTTTTGTGTCAGACACTGCACTGAGCATTTTCTATTTATTATTTCATTTGTTCCCTAAAATCACCTTATGAAAATAGGTGTTATTGTTATTATTCCCACCAAGGAGCCGAGGGGAAAAAACACAATGGTTAATTTATGTAGCCAAATCCATGCATTAGGATTCACATCTGTGTTTGCCTGAAAAACCCATGTTCTAAACCACCCGGCTGTGGAATAGGAGGAAGGGAAAAGTCAGACCCAGCCTAGCACTTGTTAGCTGGATCACTGTCAAGGGTTTCATGTCCTCATCTGTAGATTGCTAGTCCTCCCACCCCCATACTGTGAGCTTGTCTGAGGTTTGAGGTGTCTGGGGCTGTGCCCTTGCCTCTGATGAAAGTCCATGGAACAGGTACTGTTATTTACTATGTAGATGATTATCATTTAACCAAGGTTCCCATGGGCCCTGCGGTGGGGTCATTCAGTCCAGCTCAGACAGGGGGTCGAGTGAGGCCATGAAGCTGGGGTAGCTGAGGTATGGAAGAGAGAGAGAGCTGCAGGGCTTGTTTCTGCTGGCTAGGCTGTGAGTAGGTGCCTGGATAGACAAGCTACCAATAAATGGTTTTGGGAGTTGAATAATCCATTAGAACCACAGGAGGAGAACGTGTTGGCAAAGTAAGGGCCTGTGGGCAGATGACTCTTAGGTTGGGTCACTGGTGTGGCTCAGAACTTCTGGGGAAGACCCTGCTCAACTTAATGGACCCCTGTTTTTGCAGAAGTTGGGGACCATGAGAGTTTGTAAGCTTATCATGGCAGTCCTGTGACCTTCTACCTTGTTCATTCACTGCAGAATGAGAAGAAGACTGTGAGGATGATGAATCAAAAGGGTACGTTTAAAATGGGCTTCATAGAGGAGGTGAATGCACAGATCCTTGAAATGCCGTACACCAAGGGCAAGCTCAGCATGTTCGTCCTCCTGCCGTCTTGCTCTGAAGATAACCTGAAGGGCCTACAGGAGGTAAAGCTTCCTTTTCCTGTCTCTCCAAAATGTTTCATTGTAGATCTTAGGAGAGCAGCCCCATCTACCATCTACCTCCTGAGGCAGGATGGTATCTGAGCTGTAAGAGATAAGCAAATCATACATGACAATCTGAATTTGCTGACCTATTTATTCCTCACTTGTTTGGAAAAGAACAAATGCCAAACATCTAGGCTAGGGCTTTCCTCTCTAATCCCATTTTGCTCTCTGGAATTGTATTTTCCAGATCACCGAATCTGGGTGGGAGTAACTTGAGAATTGCTACAGATAAGATAGCTTTTCCTTTTCCCTGAACATCCCAAATGCTGGCCTCTCACTCAGGCTATTTTGCCATAGCTCAGTTAAAGACGCTTTAGCTGAATCCTGCTTCGGGATGCCTGTGCTTGGACAGGAGTGGGGATGCTGATACTGGAATAGATTGTGTGTGAGGTGGGAATTAATAAAACCTGGGGAGCTCAACTACACATCCTGTAGGTAAAGAGATAGAGACAGAGGGAGAGAGAAACAGAGAGAAACACTGGATAGTAATTATAATAATAACCATTATTCAAAATGTATTATGTGTCTGCACTATGTTAAGTATTTTAAATACATAACTTTGTTGAATCCTTGAGGAGCCTGATGGTATTATCTCTGTTTTATAGAAGAGCTTGAACTTCCAATGTCAAGGCTTGGTCATGCTCACCCAACTTAATCAACTGAGCTTTGCTGAGCTTTGAATACTTGTCTGTCAGACCCGCCAAAACACTGAAACTCAAGTTGTTCTGTAACTTCTAAAGAGAAAAGAGATTTGTTTGGGGAAGTTCTAAATGAAATCAGAGTAGTTTGAGGTGGAGGAAAAGACTTTGAACATGGTTACTATCATTGAGTAGACTTGGGCCCTGAGAAGTAATTGGGGTATTCTTTGCAGGCTCATAATTTGACCCTTAATATTGTTTTCTTCATCTTGCAGCTTGAAAGGAACATCACTTATGAAAAAATAGTGGCCTGGACCAGTTCAGAAAATATGTCAGAAAAAAGAGTAGCTGTCTCCTTTCCCCAGTTCACCCTGGAAGACAGCTATGAGCTCAACTCTATTCTCCAAGACATGGGCATCACGGATGTCTTTGATGAAAAGAAGGCTGATCTTACTGGGATCTCTCTACATCCCAGTTTGTACCTGTCGAAAGTTGTCCATAAAACCTTTGTGGAGGTGGATGAAAATGGCACCCAGGCTGTCGGAGCCAGTGGGGCTGTGGGCAGCGTAATGTCTGCACCATCCTGGGAGACCTTTAATGCTGATCACCCTTTTCTCTTTTTCATCAGACACAACAAAAACCAAACCATTTTCTTCTATGGCAGGTTCTGCTCTCCTTGAAAGGGGCACAGTGTCTAGTACCTGGGAGCTGGAAGAAAATGACAATGTAATCTTCCCATAGCATAATGAGGGCATTTTTTGCTAATATCTAAAGCTGATGGAATTTCATCACAGTGTCCTGCTCCCTTCTTCCAGCTTTTGGCCTGGGTGTGTCCTGCTCTTTTTCTCAACCTGTAGTTGACTTTCATCTAAATCCCTTAGTATTGAAGAACCCTTGCTCCCTCTTTCACCTCTCACCACCCTGAGCTCTCAAGCATATAAAAAAAATTCACCCTCTGGACCTGAAGGTCAACATCATTGAGAATGATATTGACTTTAAGTTACCTACCTCCTTTTGAGGGAATCGTGGAAGTTCAAATCATTAGACCACTTCTAGGAAATGGCAAACTCAGAAACCACTTTAACATGGGTGACAAGAGAAAATATTTAAATGGAATGTATTTTGGAAACTCAGCTTTGTTTCTATGGCAGTTAAAATTTTGGTGCACTGGGCAAGATGCATCTTCCTCTTCCTCTTCCATACTGTCTTCCTCTTGCCCAAAGATGTCCTGTAAGAGGCTTCTCACTTAGGAGGAAGGAGGGCTTGGGGGTGGATTTCAGTGAGAGCTCAAAGTTATAAAAGTATATCAACCAGCATTCATTTTGCACAGAGAATTTGTCTTGTGAATTTAACATTGACTCAGGAGAGTGGCAAGTGAATTTAAAAGAGATTAGTCTTAGTTTTCCTCATTGAGTCTCTGAGGCTATCATCATGAAGCACTGCTCTCGGTCTCTTCTGTACCCTCTTCCCTTACTTAGAGCATTTTTCTAATTACCCATCATGAGGTGGGGGAGGAAGCACTTTTCACTGTGGAAAGTAGGGGTCCTCATCCCCCTCTCTGTACTCTGCTCACATGAACCTATTTGTCCACCCAAAGGTCTCAGGCCTGGGCCTGGGCATGATGCATGTGAAATCTCTTGTCAGGAAGGCCACTGGCTCCATAGCCAGCTCCAATCTACTGAAAGCCTGATGCCTGAGTGTTCGACTACAGGACCCGGGACCTTTGTTCTCTGATGAGTCAGTTTGAGTTCTTGATCTCTGCCTTAGCTGAATGCTCTGGAATGACCCTGACATGCCTCAGTCTTGGTGAACTTCTGGCCTCACTTCCCTGCCCTGCCTTATATCCATCTTCTTCCCAGTTGCCACCGTGTTGGTTACGTGTGGTGGTAGCAGGTTTTGCAGGTAAAGGTAGGTTAACTTCACATGCTTTCATGCTGCCCCACCCACCCAAATTTTCTTCCACACTGGCAATTTCTTCGTGCTGTGAGAGTCAAGTTCTATGTTCTTCATGCAGGCTGCAGATAATCACAGTTTGTTTATGGCATTAAACATCTTCTCATTGGGAATATGAGACAGTTTGAGGCAGCTCTTGCAAGTCCTTTATCCATAATTCACATCCCATGGATCAAATGTATCTCAGATAATCAAATACTTAGTGTCTCCTGTGGTTCCTTTTGGGGCTTATGATCTTAAAGGCTGATTCCACACTGACCTGCATCATCGCTGGACACTGAGCTGGATAATCATAACTGACAAATAGGCTCGGAATTGTCTGGCGTTGTTTACATTCTTATCTTCTTTGGTGAAAAAAATCTTCCTATTTGTATTGTGATTTCTCAAAATTTTAATCCCAAGGGGAAAATATATCTGTTTTCAAAAATGAGAAAGAGTGAGATTCTTAAATCTTTCTGTAAATCAGTAAATGCATTCTTTATGCAACATTGATTGATTAAAATGTTTCTTCTGAATGAATAAAAGCACTTTTGTCATTAAAATATGTATAATGTATTATCAACGGACTTTTTAGTGATATAAATCTAACTTAAAATTTTTTCATTAAAAATATAGAAATACACAATATTTAAAAATAACAATTCATCTATTATGTAGGAAAGATATATCTTGCGCTATACAAATTCTTACAACTTTACACCATAATTACACATGGAAGCTTACAAAAACAGATGAAAACTCACAATTCTGAAACCTAAGAGACAGCCCTGGCCACTATGGCTCAGTTGGTTGAGTGTTGTCTATGCACTGAGAGGTCAATAGTTGATTTCCAGTCAGGGAACATGCCCAGGTTATGGGCTAGATGCCCAGTGGGGGTGCACAGGATGCACATCTTCCACTAATGTAGTTCTATAATTAATATTTAATTTAAATATCCTCATACTTTCTCCCTCCCAATTTCTCTTTCTCTCAAATTAATAAAAAATATATTGAAAAATAAAATCTAAGAATCAATGAATGATCAAAATGTGGAAGAAATTTTTGCTGACTACAAATTAATGGGGCTGGACGGAAAGGTCTAATTGAGGAGCTACCTATGTGGCAATCTGTCTTGTATTCCTACCACGACTGCCTTCCCGAATTCAGAAACACAAGATCTCTGCCAATCAAAATTCTGGAATCCATTTCTCTGCTTTGCACTGACTGCTGTTTCCTAGCCTCTGTCTTTCTTAGGAGTTTGTTTTTTTTCAAGTATGACTCAGAGGAAGGTGAGACAGCCATTGGCACTTTCCCACTCTAGGCAGTTTGTCATCACAAGTAATGTATTTTTTTTTGTGTGTGGGACAAAGACAGAAAGAACCCTGGAGGTAATGTTTGGGTTTGCATATTTCATCTTCTCTCTTTGTTTGGAATGTCAGGGTCAGGCCATACATGGAGAAAAGCATTCTAGCAGTCAAACAGAACTATTCTAGATGGGGCTGTGGGAATTATGCTCAAAATAACTCTTCAATCTTTTCACACCAACAAGATTGACTCTCTAGTAAGGCAGGCAGAGGCAGGAGATCACACAAATCTGTAGGCTGCCATAACTGCAAGAAAACCAACCAGAGCATGAAACTCTAGGGAGTGAACTCCTCCATGATGACTGCAAAGTTCCTTCCATCCAGCAATGTTGCAGGACAAGCCAGGCAACGTAGAGTTCAAACAACTGATTTATGCTGACTAGCCAACAGGTTCTCTACTACTCTTTAATTCACAGGCCCAGGACATTCTGTTTTATTTTAATCCAAGTCCTCCTTATGATTTTATATATCATCTAATGCATGCCTATCTCCCCTTCCTGCTCCTCCCAGTTTGTCCTGGAGCTGGATAAGCCAGAACACTTATTGCATCATCCCTGATGCTGTTTACTTCTTTTGCATGTCCAGTATTGTTTTATTACATTGTCGTTAACCTGTGCGGAGGTACTGTAACTGGGGCAACAGGATGAGGAAGATGTGCAGTTGCCTCAGTGGGTTCCTTTGTTCCACAGTTGAATGCCAATTTCATCCACATTACTCACGTTGTATTCTTGTTTTCCCCAATCCACTTTCTTGTTCTTTTCTTTTACTCAACAACAACAACACTAAATTTACCCCACATATGCACACTGTTCACCAATGTATTCGCTATAATCAATATATAATTTAAATATTCTCATACTCTAATACCCATTTCCATTCTAAATAATGTTATCCATGATATGCATCAAACGATGTTTTAGCTACAGATGGGTGAAGAGGATTTAAGAATCAAGGACAGAAAGAACCCTGGAGCAGTATATATTATTGATTTTAGAGAGGAAGGGAGAGAGAGAAAGAGATAGAAACATCAATGATGAGAGAGAATCATTGATTGTCTGCCTCCTGCACGCCCCCTACTGGGGATAGAGCCCGCAACCCAGGCATGTGCCTTTGGCCGGAATCAAACCTGGAACCCTTCAGTCTGCAGGATGACGCTCTATCCATTGAGCCAAACCAGCTAGGGCTGGATTTGTATATTTTATCTTCTCTCTTTGTAAAAGAAATACACAATAGTGGGGCTGACAGAAACCCGTGCACACCCTTTGTTGACACACATAGTTTTTAAACACATAAATCCATATCCAAGGTTAAATAAATGTATAAGAACTTTAGGGTTGTGAAAAAAATAGTGTCAAATAAGGAAGGGATACAGCATGGTATAGACAAAAAGTGAGATTTCAGGAAAAGATTTATGGCAAGAATTAGAAGATCAATAAGATTTAAAATGCAACAGCAGAATTTAAATAGATTTTAGAGGCAATAAAGCAGCAAAACTGATGCACTGGAAAATTTAGTTATTGATGAAGGTCTCTCTTAAAATGTATAGGGAATAATAGGAGGGCAATTGTAGATACAAAGAGAAAACACAAAGTAAATCCAAGAATTATGGTGTTTCTGAGAAAGGAAGCAGATTAATTGGCATGAAATCAATAATCAAAGATATAATTTAAAAAATTTCTTAACTTGGATAGTCACCTGATTACACTGATTTCCAATAAATATAAGCAAAAATAGACATCCTAGAAACTTTAAAAAATAAAAGATTGAGAAAATAATTCTATTAACATTTGGGCAAAAAGAAAATTTACTTAAAAGGTTAAACAATTAACCCAGCTGTGTGGCTCAGTTGGTTGAACATCGTCCCATATACCAAGAGGTTGCCAGTTCGATTCCAGGTTAGGGCACATCCTAGGGTTTTGGGCTTTATCTTCAGTGTGGGGTGTGTAGGAAGCAGCCAAAATGATTGTCTCTCATCACTGATGTTTCTATCTCTCTCTCCTCCCCTCTCCTTTCCTCCCTTCCAAATCAATAAAAATGGGTCAACCGAAGGACTTGTATGCATGCATATAAGCATAACCAATGGGTGCAAGATACTGGAAGGTAGGGGAGGCCGGGGGAAGGTCAAGGGGGAAAAAAAAGGAGACATATATACTACTCTTTGCAATACTTTAAGCAATTAAACAAAATTTAAAAATATATATATATTTTAAAAAGTAAAAATATTTAAAAAAGGATATATAATCAGATGTGCCTCCAATGTTTGTGTTAAACTTCTGGAGAAAATACAGCCTAGTGTACAAGTTTGAGAGGGAAATAATTAAAGAATTTCATGCTGAGTCAAGTTGCAAATGCAGCAGGAAGTCCTCTCTGCTCCATTTTTGCACTTGTGACTGTAATGTGTTTAATCCCCAGCACCTGTGCTGTAAACATCATAGGAACTGAAATTAAATTCTTGTTTTGAGCAGAATCCCATGCAATCAAAGATTCCAAAAAGTTAGTAAAGAAATTCCTTCAGTGAAAATATGATTTCAATTGACCATCAAAGGAAGAAGAAAAGTTCTTAATTTTGAGTTTTATTAGTAATGATGTCCCCAAATTGTGTGACTTTCTCTTTATAGCAGGTTTTTTTTTTTTACATTGGGTACATAGGCAGGGGGTGAGTCTCAACATCCAGAATAAGATTGCAGCCATGGAATCTCTGAATTGGGACAATAATAATACCTAATATTTATTGAATACTTATTGTGAGCTGGTACTGATCAAAGACCTTGATGTGTGCCAGCCCATTTAATCTTCTTAATCATCCTGAGCGGTTAGTTATTACTATTAGCCACATTAACAGATGAGGAAACTGAGGCATAGAGAAATGAAGTCCTTTGTGTAAGGTTGAACAAGGACTTGAACCAGGCTTTCTGGCTGGATATTATACGGTGGATTTCTAACCACAGCTGTATCTACCCTTCCAAGTAGAAATAAAGAATACAAGAGGTCATTTATATCCATTTCTTTATTTTGCACACGTGAACTTTGAGGATCAAGAGTTCCTCAAGATCAAGTTTTAGGTGGCCAATAGAGTTGAGAGTGCCAGTGTTCTTGGTTTGAAGGTGAAAAATTCAGGAAGCAGGAGGAGTTATGAGGCAGGCAACCATCGTGGGGACAGGTTCAAGTAGCAGTTCTGTAGGAGCAACCAGGTAGGTGTGTGTCTTCCTTTTCCTGCCTTATGCCAAGTGGTGAGTGTCAGACAGAGGTCTTTGCCCTCAGGCTGGACAGTAGGTGTATATAGAGGCACAGCCGAGCCCCAGGTGTCACCTATTGACAAAGAGGACACATTCCCACTTACTGGTTATAAGCTACTGGTACCCTTGCCTGGAAGCACACGGGCCCCTCCCACTCCTAAATGCCAAGGTAGGCTGTGGTAACCACAAAATAGCCTTCAATCAGTCTAATCTCAAACACAGAGATAAGCGTGTAACCTACATTAACAAATATTTAGTGGAAACAACATTTGAAAGAAAGAAGTCCATCTTAACAGAGTTAATAAGAGACATTAAAAATCTGTAATAATAAAAGCATAATAAGCAAATTATACCGGATGTCCTTCCGGATGAAGCCGGGGCTGCGAGGTAAGCCCGGGTCCCGGGTGCCAGAGGGAAACTGGTGCTGGCAGCCAAAGGAAGGAAGGCCTACTCCTGCATGAATTTCGTGCATCGGGCCTCTAATATGAAATAAGAACAGAGCATTATTAACTATGTATTTAAAGTTCTTGGAAATAACCTTAATTATTACAAAAAGGTTAGTAAATTGACTAAGTAGCTGAAAAGTCAGCTGGAAGATTGAACCTAGAAAAAAAGATAAATGGAAAGTACTTAAAAATGTTAAGAGCTATGCAAGGTAGTTTAAAAAGTTTCAACGTTTACCAAGGAAGATTTCAGGAACAGAGTTCTGAGGGGTTGGAGAAGAAGTACTCAAAGATATAAGAAAAAAATCTACAGAATTGAAAATATGGTCATACAGATTGAGAAGGCCATTAAAAACCTACACTTCCACACTGTGGCAAAATTATTGATCAATGGAAAAAAGTGTTCTCAAAGCTTTGTGAGGAAGAGAAATATAATTCATACAATGGAATGAAGATAAGATTGTTTTTAGGCTTCTCTATGAACCAACAAGAAGACACAGAACAATATTTGCAG